GCAGGGCGAGGCTGTGGTGGCTGGGAGCGGCCACTGCACTCCAGTCTGGGTGACAGAGTGAGACTCCAACTCAAAAACATTAATTAAATAAATAAATAAATAGCAACTATAAGCTGGACAGTAGTACACACCTGTAGGCCCAGTTACTCAGAAGGATTACTTGAGGCCAGGAGTACAAAGCTGAAGTATGCTATAATAGTGCCTGTGAATGGTCAATGCACTCCAGTCTTGGCAACGGAGCAAGGCCTCGTTTCTAAAAAGTTGTGATGCTGCTTTTTTTTAAATAACAACTATATTTCTGTGGACTAAACAATGAACTATAAATAAAGTATTAAGCCAGGCACAGTGGCTCAGCCTGTAACCCCAGCAGTTTGGGAGGCTGAGGTGAGTGGAGCCTGAGCCTGCGGGTTCGAAACAAAGCCTGGGCAATTTGACTGTCTTTATAGAAAAAAAAAAAAAAAAAAATTAGCCGGGCGTGGTAGCGCACACTTGTATGTCCAGCTACTTGGAAGGCTGAGGCGGAAGGATTGCTAGAGCCCAGCAGGTCAATTCTAGCGTGGCCGTAGGTACTCCAGCTTGAGCGACAGAATGAGACTCAGACTCAAAGAAAAAAAATGGTTTTAGGCCGGGCTTGGTGGCTCAGCCTGTTATACCAGCACTTTGGGAGGCCAAGACGAGTGGATTGCCTGAGCCCACGGGTTCGAGACCTACCTGGGCAACTTGGCGAGACCTCGTCTCTACAATAAATCAAAAATTAGTTGGGTATATACCTGTAGTTCTGTCTCCTCGGAAGGCTGAGGTGGAAGGATAGTCGGAGCCCAGCAGGTCGATGCTGGGGTGGCCGTGAACATGCCACTGCACTCCAGCCTGGGCGACAAAGTGAGACTCCAGCACAAAATATTAAAATAAAATAAAATAAAGGATTTAGAGATCTAATTATATCTCCAATTTAAAATCTTGTTGCCGGGCTCGGTGGCTCAGCCTGTAATCCTGTGCTGTAGGAGGTTGAGGTGAGTGGATTGCCTGAACCTGAGGGTTCGAGACCCGCCTGGGCAACTTGGTGAGACCTCATCTCTACAATAAATCAAAAAATCAGTCAGGCGTGGTAGGGCATGCCTGTAATTCCGGCTACTTGGAAGGCTGAGGCGGAAGGATCACCGTAGCCCAGCAGGTTGAGGCTGCGGTGGCTGGGAGCGGCCGCTGCACTCCAGTCTGGGCGACAGAGTGAGACTCCAATTCCATAAAAAAAAACCCCAAAAATAAAATAAAAAATAAAATAAAATCTTGTTGAGTAAAAACATCCCATCTGTATCTAAATTTCCTAATCAGTAAACCAGAGATGATTTTTAATCCAATTAAGCAACCAAAAAATTGTAAGTGAAGGCATTACAGGGCCAATTATTCTTTATGTGATATACTTGAATAATGAATCTATTCAGTCAGTATTTATACATAAAAATAGAATTCTCCATATATTATATACATATATATGCAAAACACACATACATAGACACACATACTTTTAACTCTGCCTAGAGTCATTCAAAATACAACAATCTCTACAAAAAGAAAGGGCCTAGAAAATTCCTGTAAATGACAAGCAGTTAAAAGTGGCAAGCCACTCCGCCTCCTTCACCTCTCCAAAACACTAGCTACCAAATATTTCTTTTTTTTTTTTTTTGAGCTGGAGTCTCACTCTGTCCCCCAGACTGGAGTGCAGCGGCCGCTCCCGGCCACCGCAGCCTCCACCTGCTGGGATCCGGCAATCCTTCCGCCTCAGCCTTCCAAGTAGCCGGAATTACAGGCATGCGCCACCAGGCCCGGCTGATTTTTTGATTTATTGTAGAGATGAGGTCTCCCTGCCCAGGCGGGTCTCGAACGCGCGGGCTCAGGCCACCCACTCACCTCAGCCTCCCAAAGGCGCGGGATGACAGGCTGAGCCACCGAGCCCGGCTCAAATATTTCATTGTTCTAACGCACTATATCGGCTTAATGACAGGGTTTTGAATGTCAAAGTTTTGCAACTGTAGCTCTTTAATATAAAATCAACATACAATGCTTCAGCTTGTAAATGAGAGTTTTAAAAATACCCCCTCCATCCTGATCACTAACTAACAGAAACTGGCAGAATGTTGGTGAACTGCCTTATGATTTTCCTGAAGTTCCCATCTTGAAAGAGTTTACTTGGAGCCCTAGGCGGCCTAAAAATTATTTGTTCTTCGGAGTTCTCTCTCCTGTTCCAATTCCTGAGAATCAAACATCGCCCAAGAAAGCATTTTAACTCAACCAAAACAAACACATGAACTGGCAAAAGCAAACTCCTTATCCTGTCTTGAATGCGGGCATAAGGACACAAGGAACTGGAGAAGCAAAAAGCACAAGGAATCTCATGCCACCGCCTAGGTCAGTGGCACGCAGTGTCCAACATCCCCGGGGCAAAACGATCTGAGAAACACGGTCCGGTATCGAACACGCCTTGTGATCTCCAGGCTAGCAAGTGACAACGCAAGCCTCCGCCATCCCGCCTAAAACAGCTGGTCCCCGTGACGCCAGCAAGGCCAGGTCAAAGTCCAGGCGTTGCGAAAGGGAGGTGGGTGGCCGGACAGGGGTGCGGGCTGGGGGGGGGGGGCGCTTGGACACAGGAGAGCCGCCGCCGAGGGCCGCCCTTCCTGCCCTCCTCAGGCGGCCATCTGCTCATCCTCGTCCCCGGACCGCGGACCTTCAGCTGCTGGGGGGCCACGGGCAGGTAGTCGGGTTCCGTCACTGCCACCCGGTCACCCAGGTTCTGGCATCCGTCCTGGAGGCCACCCGTCCTCGCGGCGGGGCAAGCCTGACCCTGCCCCACCACGGCCCGGCCCGCCCGGCGCACGCTGCTCCCTCGGGCCGGGCGACCGTGGCCGCGAGGACCCGGGGAAACTTTCTGGAAAGCGGGGGGGTCTGCAGGAGAAGACCCAGCCACCCCGAGCGCGCTGGGCAGGGGGAAGGCAGGACGCCGGCGAGTACTCACAGTTCGCCGCCCAGACGGGCAACACCAGGGCCAGGCAC